GTCTGTGAGCAGAGCTGCACCGTGTTTGTGAGCACGTGTCTGTTTGTGTGTGTGCTCATGCGCAGATTCCTCATGGGTGCATGTATCTGTCTGTGAACTTCAACACTGACAGTGCCCACGTGGGAGAAACCATCTGACAGCTCTAACAGAAAAGTTCAGATTACAGTGTGGTGTGAACTAAAAGCGCACAGATCATTTCTGGTGGGACTTCCAGCTTTTCCTCCCTGCAACAGCCTTTAGATAGAGGTAGAAGGTCTGTGAAGCCCACATCAGCTGTGCTTTTGGCTGCATTTTTTAATTAAAACTTCAATTCTCTGATTAACATAGACAGTTTCATAAAGATCTTCCCTTTTTGTTTCAAAGGACTAACTCTGAAATGGCTCCTTATCAGATAGCATCCCTCCCTCTCAAGACTGCAAAACCTCTGAACACGTCAGTACAGACTATGAGACACTGAAGTCAATGCAACTAAGGCATCTAAAGAGTCTGAGCTTTTAGGTCAGTCTACCTCCAGGGTGTCCCTGTTCCTGCAATCCAGTTTACAAAAGACTGTGCAGGTTTAAATTGCAAAACTCTGTGATAGTTCCTTCTTTCAAACCACAGCGCACAAGTGGTGGACTGGGTGGAGCAGGGGCATGAGTATAAAGCAAAAGAGGATGCTGTGCAGCCTGGAGTTGATCAGTGCTCTGTGAGGTGTGGTATAAAGGTGGTCATGAGGTAAAATGACTCGTTTGGTTTCAAGAGGGCTTCTTTACACCTGTGATTAGTAGGGTCTTGCAGAACAGTATAAGGGTCATTCTAGCTCGTGTTGCATGCAGAAATGGCTTTCCAAGAGGCATCAAGAGCTTCTTTTGTCAGGGCACAACACACTGGCTGGGCTGCAGCTGCTGGAAGTCAGCTAGCAGACAGTTGTCTCAGCTGCCTGAGCCTGCACAACAGACACTGTGCCAGCCTCAGAACCCAGCTTTCCTTCGGCAGTGGTCCACATTCCTGGACCTGACCTTCAGTAATGCCCTGACCAGCCTGCTCCTAGCCCTGAGCATTTTGCAGCTCCCCTGTCTTGCTCCCATTGCTCTCGCTGTCCTTTCCGGGGGGGGCGCTGCTGGAGCCCATAGGGGAGGTGTCTCTCTGGAATGAGAAGAATGTGGACTCTGGGCCCATTCATGGCAGCTGCTTTTGCACCTCCCCTCCCCGAGACCTTCTAGGGCAAGAGGGCAGCCAAGATTGCCCAGGATTTACTCTAATCCAAATGTGTTGCCAGGTGGCCCCATATAGCAAGAGCTCAGCCTTCAGACAAGCTCACCTGCTATCAGCCACTCCAATGATCATTAAGTTTATTGCATTTCTGTGCGTGGCTGGGGCTGACCTAGCCCAGGATCTGGCCCTGGGCTCCCATCATGGACGTTTCTCTATGCCTGCAGTACAGAGTGGTTTTCACACGTTAAAGGAGATAGATCTTAATCATAAGCTTAGCAAACTGGTCACTCCCTTGGGCAACATGGGTTCTGGAGCTAAATTGTTCTAACCTGTCTCTCCCTACTATGACAAGGCATGGGCTACATTTGGTCTTAGGCAGCAGCTTCCATGTAGTCTCTGCCCTATTGCAAGCAGTTTGGGAGGAGGGCATGTGGGGTTGCAAATTTGGCTGGTGTTTCCTTTTTTCAATGTCCAGCTGTTCTAACTAAGGAGATACTGTGCAAAATCCTCCCAGTGGGGTTGGAAAAAATCATGCTCTAGGTGGCAGCCCCAGGACGTGCTGCTTTGCTGCCCTGCCTGCAGTCTGACAGAAGAATGCAGATTTAAGAAAGAAGCCACTATAGATTTCCCTCTGGGCAGTTTATAAGGAGGACTGCTACTGGGCCCTGTGTCATGCTCTGGGTTGACTGGGTGTAGACTGGCTCTGGCTGAGCATCTGCATAGTCACATTTGAGCTGGTGCTTCAGCACATTTAGTCAACGTCACTAGTATAGCACTGTGGCTACCAGTTAGCGATCAGTACCAGCAGGTGCTATCAAAAGAGCAAGGCCATGGAGAGGAGCTTTGCCTCAGCAGAAAAGACCCGTGAAATATTAAGCATCCATCTTCAGATGGGGAGATAGAAAATCCCTTGCCCTCCCTTTTGGAGGTGTAAAAGAACGCCTCTGGGTCTCTTACTCCTCCCTGCCTTGAAGGAAGGGAAAAGAAATCTCATCTTTTGGTCCTTTTTCATTGTTGGGTGGTTTGTTTTTTTTTTTAGGAGAACAGGAGGAAGGGGAAGAACTGGGAGTGCTGCACCCTGCACCCTGTGTTGGGTGACACTGCTGTCACCTCCCTGCTGAAGAGCACAGGCACAAGAGCCCATTGAGATCAAAGAGGGCTTGTAGTACTATTGCTTGCCTTGTGGGACACTCGAGTGTCCAAGGGCAAATCCCAGGCCCATATCAGCTGCCTGCCCTATCCCCGTTAAGTGTATCACCATCGAGTGTAGCACCCCATTAAGAACAGAGCACCCATCCAGCAGCCAAAGGCAACTGGGAGGGTAAGCAAGTGGAATGTGCTGTGGAAGGGGTGTATGGCTGCTACATGGAATTGATGGAGCCTGTGAAGCCCCATGGGAGCAGACAGGGCTACAGAAGAAGGCTGTACCCACCACCCCTCCCACTTCTGGCCGGCAGAGTGACATCTGCCAGCCTTGCAGCTCGAGGATAATGAGAGAAGAATTAGTGCTTGCAGCAGATCTCCCCCATCTCATCGTAAAGAAGGCCCTGAGGTGGGTCTTTTACCACAAACACAGTAGCTGTTATCAGCAGATCTCCTCGGACTGTTTCAAAATACAACCTCTGTTCCACCCCAGGCCACAAAACAGTAATTCCTCCATGCACTTGCATTGCTCGCACACTGCACAATTCAAAGACCACTGGCTGGGCCAGAAGGGCCGGTTTTCCAAGCCAGGGCTCTCTGTCCTCAGCAGGGTACTGTGGAGCACTTCAGAGCCCTGCAGCTCTGAGGCTCCTGCTCCAAAATGGGGTGTTTCTCCACAAGATCCCAAGTCCCTCCTCCAATAATGTGTCTGGGGTGTGGCATGATTCCATCTCTCTGATGTCTACCTCGGGGTGGCACGTGCCCATTGTGGATTCCCTGCTCTCACAGGAGGGTGAGCCTGGATGAATGGCTCAGGCTGTGTGCCTCATGTTTGAATGGTTAGTCATAGCTGGAGGGAGCTTCCACCAGAGCCTACTGGGAGGAACTCCTTAGGTGGGTGTGTAGTGCCTTGCATGAAGGAGCTGCATTTCAGGGTGTGCTTCCAGGCACAGCACTTAGTGGTAGTAAAATGCCTCAGTTTTCATCCTTTCCCTAGGCTGATCCCCAAGGAAGCAAATAGAAATAAGCTGCCATTGAGGCAGCACTCTTTCAGTGCACAGAGTTCCCAGGTTTAGCAGCTGTGTGAGGTAGGGTGGGTGGAGGCATTTGACTGACTTAAACCCCTGTTATCATAGGAACAATAGCTAATGGGTTCCAGGTTTTCCACTTTTCATACCCAGCTCACTCTTGCCTGTTTGCTCAGACAAGAATCCCACTCTGTCCAGAAATGTCAAGTGGGCATTTCCAGGGCAAAGCTGCTCTCAGAGGTGCCTTGAGGAATTCAAAGCCTTTGAGTGAAAGTTGCTCTGTCACCACAGCATTTTTTTCTGTATTATTAATTTTTCCAAACTGATTTCATTGTTAGCCATGTTAAATGACAACTTCCGAGAACACTTTCTACCCAGACTGATTGCTGACTGCCCTGGAAACACTCATTGCCTCAATCAGCTTCCCTACCACTCAAAAACATCTATTTCTCAGGCAGGAGGCATCCCTACATGACCAAGCCACAAGTCAGAGGGGACTTGAAATGCACAAAATCCATCCTTCTGCCATAAGGTTAAGGTCAGCTCACGTTCTTGGCCATTCATACAGTAACTGTCCCCAGCACCAGCCTGAGTCCCAGCCATTTCTGGCCAGACTCGGCTAAATACTGCTTCAACTTCTTCCAGATCCATGAAACTGTGCAGGGGTGGGCTGGGTTCCTGCAACATGAACCAAAGACTGGTGCCAACAAACTGGCTTTCTTCACTCCCTTTCTCAGACCTCAAAAATAGTTCAGATTTGACCACAGGATGCAAACCATAGCAGACAGATGAAGTGAGAGAACTGTTGAAGAAGAGGGAAGGGTGGTTGTTTGGAAAAAGGCAGGTGAATAGGGAAAATTGCCAGTCCCTGCAATCCTACACTTCCCGTCAGTGCCTCCCTCCCCAAATCCCACCATGCAGCCCGTGGTGCTCTTTACAATTCCCCCTGCTTCCTCACTTCACCTCTCAGTGCTCCCTACTCTGGGGTCTGTGCTGCCAAGGAAGGCATAGCATGCCTTTCTGTCCGTCGTGTGGCTTTGCTGAAGAGCTTCACCCTCAAGAGCTGGGACCCCAATAGAAAATGAGAGCTCCTCCCCATTGTACCCCAAAATCTGCAGCTTTGGGGACTCTCATACTTCACATGGATTGGAATGGTTTTTGTTTTAAAGTAAAGCTTGGCAAACTACAAATGGAGAGGAGAGAGACACGCAGAAAAATGTGAGTAAGAGCCAGAAATGCTGAAACAGCAGCCCTCATTTCAAGCAGGCGTTTTCTCACGTTTGTAAACAATGCTACTCCAAAAGCATGGCAGCTCCTATGCCAGCGCTGGCTCAGGTTGGGCACCCTTTGCCTGCCTCCTCACTGCACATGCTCTGGAGGTGAAAACAACATCACTGCTGTCAGCGCTCTGGGCTTGCAATCAGGTGCCTTGCAGCATCACTTTACCCCATAACGCAGCTGGATTTCAAAGCCAAGGCTGAAAAGTTAAGGTACATCTCATTGCCAGCTCATGTGCCAAGTCGAAGAGACGTTGCAGAGTAGAGGAGAAAAGCAGGCAGGAGCTGCTGAGCGAGGGCAGCAGCCGCCGAGAAGGGAGAAAAGTTGCTGAGAATTTTGGAGAGCAGGTCTTACCGTGCGGGCTGGCACCTGTAGAAGCAAGGAGCGTGCTGGGCTGCAGAGCTGATGTCCTGGAGCACGGAGCTGTAGTGAAGGGGAGTGACCTGGTGGTGGTTTAAGTTTCCTCCGGTGGTGTGGGAGGGTGGTGTCGTTCCCCGTTCCCCTTTGTTTTAAAGGAGTTACTATGAATCAGTCTGCCTTTAAAGAGAGGGAGAAGGAGGGGGGGGGGAAGAAAAATTAATGAGCTACGCCCTGCTTTGTTGGCAGTGAGTCAAGAGTCGCTGGGAGGAAACCAGCGAGTCAAAGGAGTCTGTGCAGGGCTGCATCTGACTCAGTGTGCAGTAGAGAGACCGCAGGCTGGAAAAACGACTGACGCTGATCCAGCTGAGTAATAGAGGCCCACAACAGCATCTGTTTATAAAACTGAACTTCTGGTTGTCATAAAAAAAAAAAAAAAAAGAAGAAAAAAAGAAAAAAGTATAGTTACAAATGTGGCAACGGGACTTCAACAATGCAGTCACTCAAACAAACAGCCGGTTGGCAGGGGGCATCCATCATGAGGCCGAGTGAGTCACAGTATCCCCTCCCCGTGCTGCACAGAGAGAAGTCACCAAAGCTGGCGGCACTGGGGAACGGAAATCGGACATGTGGGGTTGTCATGGACAAAACTTTTGGGAATATACCAAGGAGCAGAGATGCTGAAGATTTAGCGTTGTTTTGGTGGTGACTCCGGAGCAAGTTGGCCAGATGGTGGTGGTTTGCTTCCATGGAGAGAGAGCAGGCAAGGAAGATGAAATAAGGAGTTTGTGTTTCACAGTTTTCTGAGGTCAGCGTTTCTTGTCATCTTAAAGACCTCTAAAAATAGATCCTTGAAATTTGCAGAGAATTGGCTGGTGTAGTTGTCTTGTGGATGCTATGGGCAATATTCAGTGGGGATGTGCTTGAGATGTAGGTGAAGGGGGAAGAAGTGTGTCAGAAAGCATTTGGGTTAAAATGTGATGCATATTGTGATAGAGTTGGTGATCTGATACTGCAAGGAATCAAGCCTGCCTTTGCAGAGGCCCAGAAAGAGATAAGCAGATACTGATAAAAAACCTGGGAAATAACGCCTTTCCCACTTAAATGAGGAGGACACTGGGTTGCCATTATTTGAAAGACAAAGCTGATGCTCTTTGAAGTCTACACAGATTAAAAGTCCTTGCTATTTTTCAGATTATTCTTTCCCTCTGGTGTTATTGATATGCGTCTGGTCTAATTTCTAGACTACAGCAACCTGCTTAAAAACAGAGGTGTGGATGAAACAGCAGCAAAGATGATACTGGTGGGGAAAGACACGGTGCCCAGACAGTCCCATGAGAATTTTGCCACTGATGGAAAATACAGATTTTTCTTCCCCAGGACAGAATAAGCCTAAGTATATTTAATACCTGTGGGTTAGAATAGGTATTATTCTAAACAAGTGCTTCTTGATGATTTACATAAATGTTATATCCAGGGATATTAAAATGTATTTGCTTACCCTGCAGAAGGACTGGCATTTACATTGAGCTGCACTGTCCATTTGCCCTTCCCTGGTCTCCCAGCAGAGTTTATTGGAGTGAGGGATGCTCAGGTGTACACAAAATGCTGCAGTATGTGGTCCCAAAGCAGAATCTGTGGACCAGAGTTCACCTGTGGTGAAGCATCCTCTGCCCCAGATCTGTTCAGAGGTGACTGCCCACCTGCCAGAGAGCAGCTGCCTGAACGCTCAGAGAATTCCTTATCTGAGATCCAGTAGCCAAAAACACCTGCATCTAAAACACACTCACATGGGGCAACTACAGGGGAGCACCCTAAGAAGTTGGGTATAAAGTGATCCATGAATGGCAAAGCGTTATTTGTCCAGAGAGAGCAAACACATTCTGTATAAATTGCTCTCTAGCCTAGGAGACTGACAGGCAATGGCCAACATCAGATGCATCACATGGAGGCAGTGGGATTCTGCAGTGTCAGCTTGCCCACAGGAGCACTGCTTCCTAACTCTCCATCTGGAAATGTTGGTGCCCAGACATCAGAGTAAAGAAAAGCAACCAAACAGGCCACATAGGCTGTGACTATGGCCCTGGAGGAGCACTGGTACCCTGCCAGCAACTGGCTTCATCCCTGCTGTCATACCTGTCAAGCCAGGTAGGAGAGGGGGTAACAGTGAGTGTCAAGGGAACAAAAGTGTGGATATCTGCTCCTGTTTGGGAGCAATGCTTCATGTGGGCAAGATGCTCGTTTAAGCAAGTAAAGTTAATCCGTAATGTCAGGGTAGCCCCCTAATGTCAGGGTATGGTGAGGCCACAGGAGAGCTCAGCTTCCACTGAGCAGATTACTAGCTCTTTAGGATATTTCCACCTTGCATCTGGACAAGAGGACAGAGTAGAAGTGATAGGTAAAGGTAGGAGAACATTTCATGTTGATAAGATTCATCATGTTTTCTGTAGCTTTTTGTGGATGAAGTTAGCTCACTAAACCTTTGTGTGTGTGACAGAGAGCCAGCTCTATCCACCCATCTGGTCTTTCTGCGTGCCTCCAGCAACTTCTTCCTTTAGGGTGTGTGGTTTTCACAAGGCAGGTTGCAATAGGAAACTCATCATATGAAAAGTCTCATCATGGGATCAGAAGAATAAAGCATGCTGCCAGTTTGACATACTAAGGCACTCACACCATAGTGTGCCTAAGGTCCTCAGACCATAGTCAACAGTGTCCCCTCACCTAGGCATCATGCATTTCACAGGCTTTTCTGAATGCCAACAGCCAACTAATACAAGGTGGGCAGGTCGAAGCCATGAGAATTTAAGATGTGAAAATCTGGACTTGCATTTCCATGTTCAATAATAGGGGTGAAGCTGTCCCATGTGTGCCATGCCTTTGCTGAAGCTCGTGTCTGCTGTATGTCTGCTTGTTTTGTCATGCCCCACACATTTGCAGACATCACTACTGCGTGTGCACAGTAGCCTTTGGTGTAACAAGATAAGCATTCACAGTGACATTAGATAAGACAAACATTGAGCTTTTGCAAGCCCAGATCAAAGGAGGAATGGACCACAGGGAATGGGAGATGGGGTGTGGATTTAGGGGTGGAGGAGGTATGGACAAGCTTGGCTTGAAGCATCCAGAACATTCTGTTTCTAGAGGGGGCGGCGTGGGGGAGGAAGGGTAGGGGAAATAGGCCATAGTCTCTCTCCAGTTTCTTTAGATGCCAGAATCTACGCTTGGGAGAGGTCTGCAGCTGAGTTCCCGTGCTCTCTGGGATACTTTCAAGTACAAATTCAGCATGAATTCAACATATGCTGTTGGGACTTGCTTTTCTGGATAGCTGTCTGCAAACACACGTTGCACGTTAACCCCCTCAGTCTAAATAGCATGTCTTTCCACCTGACAATACTTAAACCCTTTCCTCTCTATAATGTGCTATTTACTCTGTGCAACATCCTTCTGGCTGGTTGCAGAAAAAGTGGAAGTGTTAGGTTTCATGGTGCTTGCTATTTCTTTGCTTGTCATGACATGGAGAAGGTGGGGTTGAGCCTGAGCTAACATGTGGGTTAAAAAAATAGAAACTAACAAGTTTCATACTTCTCTGTAGTGGTGCCACCGATATGTTTGTGTGTTCATATCACACCTATTGTTGTGATACGGTAATTTGCAGAGCCATATGATAGGTCTCAGAGCCATATGATAAACTGTATTTGTCACTCGTGAACCTGAAGGGTTTCAAATGGGAGCATCCATCCACCAGAGAGGAAAGGGCGGTGCTTTCCTTATAACTTCATTCAGTTCTGAGGAAGCAGATATTGGAAGTCACACCTATGGTTTTTGTCATTTCTTTAATGTGTCCTGTCATGTTCCTGTCCCTCCAAGGACTGCTAGATTTCCAGTACTTAGGGAAGCTGATGTTACAAGCTCAGTGGTACAAGAAAGGGGAAGATTGTGCAGTCAGCACTGAACAGATATAACTCTTCCCATTCACAGTCTTCTCTTTTGTTAGTGGAGGTTTTTTTTTGGTTTGGTTTTGTCTGACCCAATGACTTTGGTAAAGTGTACGAAGAACAAAACCGACAGAAACATCTACATCTGATTTTTCAAAAAAACTGCCAGACTGACTGATCTTCTAAGTTGGGTGACAGGTACAGAGTTGAAAATGCCCTGGGTTTGTAGTATTTGTGTAGGAATGGTTTGTCAAAAGTTTTCACAGGCAAGACCTGCAATTGTTTCCTCCAGGACTTGAGCACTATGAATGGGGTCTATGCCAGAATGCATTCCCCACATCCCACTTACCACATCTGGGAAGCCCCAAAAACTTGCCTTGTTTCTTAATAGAAATAAAAAAAAGGAAACCATTCCTACCATAATTTGCAAAGTGATTAGAATTTAGTTTTGTCCTGCCATACGAAAAGGACCATATACTTCAATCTTATGTTGGAGAGGGAGATGAAGACGGATTATGATTCCTCTGACATCTCGTGCTGCTGTAGAGTACAGACATTCACATTGTGGTCTCTGCAGCAGTTTTGGAGATTCTGCCAGACTGGATAAATGGCAACCCATTTGCAACTGGCCAAGGGGTTTGGACTAGTTCTCAGAGGGCCAGTTAGGCCTTGCCATCCCAGACACTGTTGTATGGGCTTAATGTGATCCTCAGGCTGAGGTTCTGAACACCTGGAAGAGGCAGCATGAACTGACTGGGGCTGGGAATAGATACCTGAACCTGGAAAACATGAAACCTATGAAATCATAACTTTCTTCTATGCTGTGGAGCAAAAGGTGTGGTGAGATGAGAGCCATCTGAAATGAGGTGGTCAAACTGAAACAAGGGAAGTTCAGGTTAGATATAAGGAAGTTCTTTACTGTGAGGGTGATGAGGCACTGGAAGAGGTTGCACAGAGAAGTAGTAAATGCTCCATCCCTGGCAGTGTCCAAGGCCAGGCTGGATAGAGCTTTGGGTGACATGGTCTAGCATGAGATGTCCCTGCTCATGGCAGGGGGGTTCTAACAGGATGATCTTAAGGTCTTTTCCAACCCAAACCATTCCATTATTTCCATAATTTCTATGATTTCACTGGTCTGTCCCTATTTTTATGGCAAGGGAAACCACTCCGCATCTTGTTTTCCCTTACTTTAACCTCTACCTCTATCTCTTCCTTTTATTTTATTTTTTTATTATTGGAAACAGCCCAGCTGAAGACATTTGCTTGTAACAAGCCGGTGTTACCTCTGCCCTAGCAGGCCCATCTGAGCTGTCACTTTCACCAAGCACCTCTCCCATTCCACATCAAAGAGGCAGTGGCTGGTGGTATTCTCCACCTGCACAAGAAAGCCTATGTCATCCATTCTGCCAGCCAAGGAGGTTTTCTTTATTGGTTTCTCCTGCTCCTGGCTCATTTCTATCTCTGCCTTCTGTGGCTGCTGTATTACACAGTATATGCTACCAATTGCTTCACCGACAGGTTTTACCACTTTAGTGAAGAAAAAAAACTCTGCAAGCACCAAGAAATGGCATGAGTTGACCGTGCCTTATTATTGTCCTTTCATTCAGTGCTGACAAAGGGAATTAGCAGCGTGACCATCCCTGCAGCCTGGACTGCAACTGGGTCATTGGCTGTAGAAATGGACCTTGACTAAGAGGCCAAGGCAAGGGCAAGTGCCATTTGTGCTGTGTTTGAGATTTAATAATGGGACATTTTTCTATTTACCTGGTGCTCCCACATGCTGTTTCCATGTGTTAGCTCTACTCAAGATTTTCTGGACTTAGAGAAGATGTTGGTGTCCTCAGAAAGTTGTAAGACCTCGCTGTGCAGCCAGAGATAACGTTTGGAGGAATTGTGAAGGCCAACTGTACTTGCTTCTCACTTCCTGCAACATCTTGCTTTTTTGAATCCTAGCATGCATTTATTTAAGCAATGTTATAGGGTCACAGGCTCTACATGTATACAGGAAAGGAGAGTGCTAGCCTAGGAAAATAAATGGTGGAGACTGAAAGGGACCTGGTGTATGAACAAACCATGCAGGCAGATTACTTCCTCAACTAAGCTGGAAGAACAGCCCAGGGAAGGCCTGCTAGGGAGAACAGTGGTACCTGTACTGGTGTCCTCGTAAGCGGGAGGGTTGGTGGGAGGGGAAAAGCACCATAGTGAGAAGGGAGGAGAAGGAAAACAGGGGAGTGTAGCTGAGGTGGAAAGATCAGCTGGGCATTGGAAGGGTCAGGGCAGGGCAGAGAGGGCTGAACACCATGGGTGTTGCAGCCAATATGAAAAGTACCTCTTTGCTCCAAGTCCCTGAGCAAGTGCAGAGCACTCTTAGGAGGCTGGAAGTCCTTTCCCTCCTGTTGCTGTTTTATGGCAGAAGGGAGATGTCACTCTCTAGGTTTTCTTTTTTGTTCCCTGACAAAGAGGGAAATTATTCCTTTGGCTACAGAGGCATGGTTCCCTTCTGACTGAGGAAGTATCTACACACGTCACAATACGGGCCAGCCTCTGAGTTTATTTGCATCAGTGCAGAACTGGAAAAACTCGCATCAACTTCATAGCAGTCTTTCTAATTTTGAATCAGGGGCTGAAGCAGTGCTACCATGTCAGGAAACGTGGTAAAGAGAGAATTTGTGAGGGGGAAAAGCTACAAGCACAGAGACTGACCACTGAAGTAATCTCTCTCTTCTTCCTTGCTA